TCTTCATCACTTTCATATCTATCACCCACTTTCTCAAACAACAGACATCATCTTCATCACTTTCATATCTATCACCCACTTTCTCAAACAACAGATTGTGAATTTCACTGTCAATACAATAAGAATTCTTCAATTTGGCACCAAACAAATTAAACTAAAATGATAGGAAAAATTATTGCATCTTCTACTTGGAAAAATAGGAAACAACAAAAACTGATTATCTGTTTCAACATTCTTGCCATCACTACTCTAGCAACTTTTGTAGTATGGATATACATAAACCCAAATTGGAATGAAAAGAGGTTTAGGGAAAGGTTATTTCTCTTGGAAATAGGAAAATCACTGGTGAGAAAGCATAGCAAAAATACCAAAAACTGTTGCCCTACCAGAAAGGGGATGAAAACTTGGCCCGATGTATGCTTTGAACTAGGTCAAAAAATAGGAAGCATTCAAATCATTTTTCTGAATGTATGCACTTCTCATTTTCTGAACAGCTAATTTGTATTGAATATGCTCAAGAATACAATAATGAAACTGTCAAAAAATAAGTATCATCTTGACAGGACAATTTCAGTAGTAGTACATCAAGTTGTCATTATGCTGCAGAAGATGAGGACATATATATATATGTGTAGTATTGGAATCATCCTTGACTCCTTAGTATTCAGTGTAACAATAAAAAGTCAGTGGTACAAGGGTTAATGGACCTCACTCTCGCAGACTTTGGTATCACCATCAAAATGAAAGTACTACTGAAACTTGTGAGTTTAAATGAACAAATAAGGTAAAATGTGCTGCAACAACTGCACTAGAAATGCAGAATGAGTTGTAAGACTGTTTTAATTAGTGGTACAAATGTATGGCTACAAATGTATTTTGTCTTCAGTAAATATCTTCTGCAGTTAAATTTGTGACCTTTGTTCTATTGTACACTTTTATGTGTTGTAATTTAAAATAATTTGTATGCTATGTGTTTTTAACAGGTGGTAATATTGTTTGTTGGGAGAGGTATTTCATTCCAATGACATTACCTTTATATTGATTATAAATAAATAAATAAATAATTGACTCACAGAATTCTGTTTCTTCTTAAGTTCTTCTAATACTTTAACTAATTCTGGATCTGCAACATCAAAGCAAGTCTGTCCCTAAATAAAGAAAATAACACAAAATCATTAAAAATAATTTTTTAATTTGCTTAAAACATTACATCACTTATACAAATATCTATTGCAACTAACTAGATTTATTTACAGAGTGGTTATAAAGTTCCTAAGCATGATATTTAGAAGTTATCTGTATGCTCCCCATCATTATTATCTATGAAAACACCAATTCTTTTCTCAAGTTCTTCTAGAATATCTTCAATAATGATGATCATAAGTCATTAAAGTAGTTGTCGATAGCTATTTTTAGAGTACCATTGCAAAATTTTCCTTTTACAATGTTCCATTTGATCCATTGTCTGCCAAAAACATCTCCCAAGACATTCTCTAACTGGAAAACCAAAAATACAATCTTGTATGTAGGAACTTTTAAAACAGACAGTGGCATCAATCTTACCCCAAATTTCAATGACATTTTAATATAAATGAACCATTTTTATACATCCTCACAGCATCATGATATCTGACAAAAGTTTGAATTTATTTACACCTGTTCTATTTTTCGTTTCATTGTTTTCAATTTGTTAAAGAAAAATTTTATCAAACTGTGTGGCACTATCCACTCACTTCTTTGAAGTCATAAAAACAGAACTTATATTTTTGCATTTTCAACCTGACAGCATATAAAGTGATAGCAAAAGATAAGTAACTTCAAATCAGCACTTCTGTACAAAGCAAGCTGCAAAAAAGTCTAACACATAAAATAATGTTATGGAGAAAGTACTCAAAAAGTATCTACCTTTGAGGTGTTTGATGATAAAATTGAGATGAGGGTAAATCATTTCATTATATCAGTAAAGCCATTGACAAACTTCCTTCCAGCAGGTAAAGTCTCACAAAACTTTCTTGATATAGTAAGTCTTAGCATAAGGCTGAGATTATCTGGTCTGACATAAGCAAATTTACTATTTTTATAATAAAGATTGGCTTTATAGCATTGAGAAAACCAAACACCAAGCTAGATATTGGATAAGCAGTATAAACTTCTATTAGATGTATATTTTTAACAACATGGTGAAGTGAAGTTACCATTAAACATGGAACAGGTGGAGTCACAATGCAGGGTGTATGGCATCAAATGAAGTTGGAAATTTACACATCATTGATATTATGGATAGATTTGTCTACTTGTACAGTATATACTAAAGAAAAATTTGAGAAAAATTCTTAGAGTTTTGAGATGATTTCATCTTCCATTATGTATCCACGATATTAAAAACATGTAAAATATATGCAGCTCCATAGATTACATGCTTACAATATTAATTTTCACAGTAATAAAAATTTGTCGATTGCATGGACAAGTTAAAAGTTAAACATAAGTCACTTAAAAGAATGCGTTTCTGATACAAATGCACTTATAACATTAAAACATTGTGTGAAAGGAACATATCTGTACCTGCATTCAGTTACAATAGCACTATATGAAGAATATTTTATGATTTATTTATTACTAACTGCATGATAAAGTGGGTCCTTTGTTGAGCTATGTAAACTTTTCACTCCTTATGTATAATTAATATACAACAACAAAGTAAGCAATATCTTATGCATAAAAGCTACATTTTATTAGTAAAATGTATCTATAAATAGTATTATATGTCTAAAATAACAAATTTCTCAAAATAAAAATAAATAATCTAGAATTTGAATAGTAATATGGCCATTTCGTAAATAAAATTTTTCTTACAGCAGAATTTACAATGGTCATGTCGGCCAAACTCTCCACGAGCATTTCACAGGCTTCTCTCTGGCCCCAGTGAGCCGCAGCGTGAAGTGGCGTCCAGTCGTCATTGTCCTGAGCATTTACATCAGCTCCAGCTTTTATTAAAATACTAAAACACAATAACATATGCATTTTAGTTTTGAAACTAAACGACTTATATTACCAATGTTTTTGTAATGAAACAGGTACCTCATAACACGTATGTATCCCTTTGCGGCGGCCACGTGTAAAGCCGTAGCTCCAGTCTTGGGATGAATGCAGTCTTCAATGTACTGGTTGTTGGCCCATCTTTTTGCATCTTCCAACATGATGTGTTCTTCTTCTGTTCGAGCCGCATCGCAGTCAATTTCTGTCGGACATGCAAAAATACAAAATAATTAGTTAGCCTCTACAAATCGGAAAATTTAAATAACAAAACTGTATTGAAAATTATCTACAAAATACTATACAGGTAGGCCTCCTACAACACAGTATCTTTACAATGCATTTTTGCTCCAACACGGCTGGAAAAACACAAAAATTTTCTTACAATGTGGTATTTTTACAATACAGTTTAGGGTATTTAGAGACAAATTATCTTTCACATAACAGAAAAATCACAATGGATCATAAAAACGTGCCGCAGTTCAGTGTACAGAGCTAAATGTCCTTAAGAACAGCTGTTTGTTAACATTGGTGTGTTATTCCCACGAAAGTTTCAGGGGAAGACCGGTTTCTAGACAGATGTGCATCAGTTACTGTAAACACTCAAATATATCACTAAATTTTTGATCATTTATACACTTTCAATAGGTAAGGACCACAAAAATGGTCCAAAATACAGTATAAACTTCTATTGGGTGTATATTTTTAACAACATGGTAAAGAAAAGTTTATTTTTTGCAATTTTTACTGTCCACAAAACTGATTGAAAAAATTTTAGCCATAACAATGCCAAATGAAAAGAAAGGACCGTCATTAAAAAGGAAATTTATATCTCTTCAAACAAAAATAAAAATTTTGGATTAAATTAAAAATCAAGAGAGGATAGCTGATATTGGTAGGCATTTTAATTTAAATGAGTCAACTATTCAGTCGATTAAGCAATCAGAAGAGAAGATTAAGAATTTGGTCGCATCCGGATCATCTATTCTTGCGAAAAATGTTGCTCATCCATGAGCACATATAATGGAAAAAATGGAACGAGCACTAATATTATGGGTAGAAGATATGAACAAGAAACAGTTGCCTTTAAATAAAAGTGCACTTAAACACAAAGCCTTAAAAATATTTGATTATTTAAAACAAATGGGACAGTCATCAGCTGATGAAACCAGTGTTAAATTCGTGGCTAGCAATGGCTGGTGTGAAAAATTTTAAAAATGCTATTTGTTGCACAACATATACATACAAGGGAAAAAGGCCTCTGCAGATGAGAATGCAGCAAAAAAATATCCAGAAACTAGCAGGTATTAATCAAACAAAGAGTTATTTGGCTGACCAAGTGTTTAAAGGCTGGTATACACAGTAAGGAAATCCTCAAAGGATGTGCTTAACAGACGAAAAAAACTCGGGATATAACTGGCTGGATCGAACATAGTAATTTACAAAACTTATTAAAATATCTCCCAACGTATAAAGAATTATTTTTATTTAAAAATAGATAGATAGAGAAAAAAAATCACAATTAATCCTCAAAGGATTTCCTTACCGTGTATAACAGCCTTAATACTGATGAAACAGGATCATCATGGAAAAAAAATGCCTAACAGGACCTGTATCTCAAAAAATGAAAAAAACCGCTCCTGGCATTAAAGTTTCCAAAGATCGCATAACTCTACTTCTATGTAGTAACACGTCTGGTGATTTTATTACGAAGCCAATGCTCATTCATCAAGCACTAAATCCACACTCGATGAAACAGTGCAACAAAAACGACCTACCCGTGTATTGGAGAGTCAACAAAAAGGCATGGACAATGGGCCATTTATTTAAGAATTGGTTCCATAATTGTTTTGTTCCAGATGTAGAAAATTATTTTAAAAAGAACTTAGCATTCAAAATCCCACTAATCTTAGATAATGCACCCTTGCTTCCAATTGATTTAAATCATCCCAATGTTGAGATTGCATTTTTACCATGCAACACCACTCCGCTATTGCAACCCTTGGATCAAGGAATCATAGCAAATTTTAAAACATATTTTATCCATAAATCATTTCAATTAATTCTGGAGAAAATAGGTTCTACAGATATTACAGTCAGTGAAGTTTGAAAACAATTTTCAATTTTAAATTGTGTAGAAATTATCGGCTCGTCCCTACAAACAATGCATCAATCGACTCTAAATGATTCCTGGAAAGCTTTATTACCAGAAATGGTCAGTCAGGAAAATGTTGTTGAGCCAATTCAGCGTGAATATAATAACATAGTAAGCCTTGCACACAAAATATGATGTGATGAATTCACTGAAATAGCTGTTGATGATATTCTAGAATTAGTTATGGAAAATGAAATAAACAAAGCAGATTTGGTGACAGTTATATCCAAAACATTACTGATTGAAGATAATTCTGAAGATCTTTTCAATGAAGAAACCAAAAATTTCACTCTGAAAGGTATAGAAAAATGTTTGGACGTGGCAAAACAGATGAAATCTTAGTTTTTAGAGAACGATCCTCTGCCGGAGAGAGCGGAAATATTTAAAACAAATCTTCAAAATTGCTTATCTGCCTATCAAGAAATTTATAAAGATTTGCAAAGCACGAGCAAACAATCTCTAATGACAGATTTTTTAAAACCTAAACCTACCGGAAGTATAGTGGAACTTGTCAATGAAACAAGCTCAGATCTTGAAATAAGGCCAGTCAAATGCTCTCGAACAACTATAATAAGTGACGATGAGGACTAAATGTGAGAGCATAACATTATGTTTCTTTTTGATTTTGACTTGAAATCATAATCGTTTTAGTTTTTATATGATGTTGAATTTTATTTAAGTTTTTAATGAAATGTTTTTATGTACATAAATTAAAAAAATGATGAAAATGTTACACCAGAGAAGGTAGTTTTTCTCTGTTTAGAACCAAATCCCAGTTTTTGTGTTAAGTTGGTATCTCCTATAATGCAATTTCCCACAATATGGTATTTTCAAGGAACATATCTACTGCATTGTAGGAGGCCTACCTGTAGTTCAAAAACCATGGTTTAATGTTAAATTTAATTTATAATACAAATTAGAATTTAATTTCATTAATCATTATTGAAATTATATAAATTTCCAGGGCATTTTAATGAAAACTTGAGAAATATGGCTTTGTTTATTCAGAAGATATTTCTCTTTTATAGAAACCATATTTTTAATTTTATACTAATGAAAAACAGCTAAACAATTAAAATTCTTGTTTTTCTTTTTTCATAATTATAATTTAAAGATATATTAATTACACATTCCACACATACTTCCTTTTTTGTATTGTTTAGTAAAACTTTTACTTGCTAACTAAATTATGGCATACCAAAGATTTAAAATTCTCTTCTGGCAAAGACTTATAAAAATTTAAAATCTTCTTTAAACAGGTTTTTATATAAATCATTTGCACAGCAAGTCTATTAATTCTAGTTACATTCTCAAAGTTTATAAGCTTTCAACTCATTTGATGATAAAGCATGTCAATTAAAATGAGCTAACAGGATGGTAAATAGGACAATGCTTTAAAAGGAGTAAGTTGGAAACCCATTCTAGAGTTTGTAGAATATAACAATTCTAACACAATTTACACTGCTACACGAATATCTTAAAAAGTAAGCATCCCGACAGCAGAGTATGCTGAAATACCAGTTCTACTTTAATGCATTCAGTACCAAAGCCATCTCGAAGGGTCCTGCACCACCTTGCTCAATACACTGAGGACACTTGTGCATCCTCATTTTTTTTATATTAATCATTGAAAATGTTTGTCCTTTGTTTATAAAAAATAAAATTTATTTTTATCATTTTTATAATTTTAATTAAACAAAAACTTTTAAAAATTTGTCTGCATATTGGTAGGAAAATCAGTTTTTATACCAGCAGCAAACACATTAAAATTATACCCAAAGAAAAATTCAAACCCACAATGTTTCCAGTTTGTCAATTTATTTTCTCTGTCCAGTTTGTCTCCGGTATATTTCCTAAAATTATTTTCTACTTTGAAAAAATACACCTTAGCCACTGTTGTTACAAGCTTTGTAATTTGAAATTAATAAAGAAAATATAACATTGAACGTGTAACTTCTAATAAATATAAGAAATCCAGTATTAGAAAAGGAAATGTGTCATGGGACATTCATAAATCACAATGATTCAAATTGCAAATGTGTGACTGATAGCAAATGCAAGAACAAGATTAGTTTAAAAACCAATTTTCTAGAATGCAAAGCTACAGATTTTATTTTAACAATGTCAATTTGTGAAAATTTAATAATAAAATAAAAATTACAGAAATATTGTACATCAGCTTTTAAGATATTTAAAGATTAGTTCATTGAAAAAGACATTTAACCAAGAAATTACTGTTAAAAAAAATAATAATACTCAATTTTATTTAATAATTAATTAATTAATATTGTAACAATATATTATTTTAAAATGAATAATGCATAGTAAGAATTATTATATTCAGTGTTAATAATAAACCTTTGACTCGACCGTACAGAAACATTAACTTTAATTACTTCTAATCATTTTTGGAATAAATCTAAAGACGTGGCAACAACTTGGATATGATTGATGACCGGAGCAAGACAATGTTACAAACTATATTTTTAAGACAAACAAAAAAATAATTTGGCATTATTTCTTCCTTACTAATTCCCATCTTAAATAAAATAAACAGAAACAAAAGCTTACTTTTTTTTTAATTTTGTAAAATTTTACAGGGGGNAAGTATGCCTCTTTTTGTGCAGTTGACAGAGATCATTTTAACTTCATAAAAGCATCTTATCAGAAAAATAATGTAGTTTTAAACCAAAAATTTAAAAATGTATGATGATGATGATGATAATTTTCATAAAATAAAGTAATTGTTGATGTCTGCATTTTATTTCTTCAGCAGGTTTTCCAACTTCCAACAAGTTGACAGATTAATTTTAATAAAGTAAAGCACAAATTTTACAGTTATTTTTTCTATACTGCTTCAAGAATCAATTAAAACATCAAAAATGAAATGTTTTCAGGTTTTGGCTTTTGTTATTGCCATTTTCATTCATTTTTAGTGCAGCAAAATCCACACTTTAGTGATAAATCACTTATAAAATAAGACACTATTTTACAGTAACAAATATTATAATCTCTGTTAATTATATTCAAAAAAATATTTAAAGAAGTTGTTGGATGCCATTTTAATCGTATCAATAATTACTTTATTATTATGAACAATAAAAAACTTCTTTTATAAAATAATCAATAATTTTACAGCTAATCACTTCTTATTTGTAACAAAATCCTGTTTATTCACTTCTCAACAATATATAGAATGAAAAAAGTACTATTTGTTTAATTTAGAGTCAGTAAAATGCCTTAAATCATAGAAAATAACATTACATCCTAATTAAAGTGACAATATAAGCATGAATGCACAAAGTGGCTGAACTGGAATCTAGTAAATTAGGAACAATGTCTTAACTCATTATTATAATATCTATAGAATATTTAATCAAGAATAACATTAACACAAACTGCTTATCACTTTTAATACAACTTATATTTCATTTATTATAAATAACAATATCTATGATGGGAAGCTTTTCTCACTTTCAGAAAAGTTGCATTCTACAAACACTATGAGCCACGAACATGCATGCCAATGGAACTATTTGTAGTCCTTACTTCATCTTTGTTGGATCACTTTATTGGTTGAAACTGTTTTTTCTGCCATTTTTTAAATCTCAAAACAACTGGTTCCTCTATTAGTGAATTTCCATAATAATTGATTAACATTTTTCAGAGGAAGCTTTCCATTAAGCCACAAAATCCATATTAATGAAAAAGAAATTGGAAAAGGTGACACTTTTGTAATTTTTAAGAAAGCTGCAAAAGCTAATATACTGAGAAAAGCTATGGATCATCAATACTCCATAATGTATTTAGGTTTCAAGGATATGGTTCTTCACATTGCTAGAGTATTGTTTTAGTTATAAAGAATGAGCATTTTATGGATTTTCATTCTCATTTTAATACACATTCAAATTTTGTTTACATTCATGTTTAATCAATGTTAGTGATAGAATATAACACATTATTTATTTGAATGTACAGATATAATGTATATTTTCAAGAATTTGTCATACACTAAAACAATTTATAACTTCCACATTATTGTAAAATAATATATTTAGTGTTGTATCAATTTTTATTTTTCTGTATGTAGCAATGTAAAAATTACAGCTATAAAAACAGTACTGTGTATCAAACAGACAAAAATGTAACTGTTTAATGACCTCAGAATAATTTATTCTATAAATTAGACTAAAACATCTCAAAATCACTCTTACGCTTCATTAAATATTGTATAGCAGAGTGTAAAATTTATATTAGCATATTATAAAATTTAAATTACCTTGGCGATCAATTTCAGCCTGAAGTAGTTCTTCCATTTCTTCGGATTCAGCAATATCGATAGGTAGATCACCATCATTGTTTACGGCTGCAACATCGGCTCCATGTTCTATCAAATATCTAATTTGAAAAGAGATAAGCTGATACAATTTTAATAACTAAAAAGAATAATTTAACAATTGAATTACCTTGCTATACTTAAAATGCCACAAGATGTTGTTGCGTGGAGAGGTGTCCAACCTTCATTATCTCCCTTATTAATATCACAATTGTGTTCTACTAAAAACTGGACCATTTCATAATTATCATCTATACAAGCCTATTAAAATGAGAAATTTTATTTTTAAAATTTAAGTGCACTTTCAGTTAATTACTACTACTAAAGAATTCTTTACATTATATAAATGAATTTAAATTCACATAATTTCAAGTTTACTATTTACTAAAATAATAATTCTTAATTAATAGTTTTTCAAGTCATAAAGATGTAATGTATTGTCTTACCATGCAATTGTTATAAATATATTAAGAGGCAATATATTAACATAATTCAAACAGAATAAGTTAAGTATGTGTATAATGTAACTAACTGAACTATGTCAGAACTGGTAAAAAAATCTTATTGCTGTAAATAAAAATATATTGCTGTTTCTTCTCTTATCAATTATATAATATATACAATTTTTTCTAAGTATTTTCATATTAAAATATTATCAATGCAATTAATACAGACACACACAAAATTAGGTTTTGTGAAGACTAAAATGTTGCCCTATTCAAATCCATCACTGAAAAAATTGAAGTTAAATATTTGAAAGAACCTGGCATTTATCTAAAATTAAACTGTTTAGTTCCATTTTCTGATATACATGTTCAAAAATATAGTGTGTTCAAAAAGTTACTGTGCAGTGGAAAAAATTTAACTAAAGTTTTAATAGCCCCAAAACATGGAGAAGCGAGGTCCAGAGACTTGGCAAGCCAGATTCTGCAGGATATTGTGTGCTTGGAAAAGAAGTTTTCCAAAAATCAGAACATCCACAAATGAATGGTAACACCCTCTACCCCAAAGTGGAAACAAAGGTCGTACGATTTATGAAATACAGATTGTATGAAATGCCACATGCATAACTCTAATGTCATCACGAATTTCTTCCTACACAGTAACTGTTTGAATTCCACAGATTAAAATGATAAAAAAAAGAAAAAAAAAAAAAAAATTTGTATAGAGAATTCAAAACTCAAGACATTCTTTTCATATTCGCGTCTTTTCTTCACTAGTGCAAATTTGATTATTCGAATATAAAGGTTCTTGAAATTATAAAACAAAGAGAAAAAGGAGATGAGATTATATTTTATATTATTTTTGTTACATTTGTTACAAACTCCAAAGATAGAGCATAGCTCCAATAGTGCTCAGTGCACGAAGACTAGTAATAGAGAGATGAATCGTCGAGTAAAGCAGTTTAACATACAATTAACATTTCATAATTTCAAAATTTTTCAAGTAATAAACAAAAAGTAAAAAATATAAAAAGTAATTACTAATTTGTTTATAAATGCTAAATTATTTGTTTGACAGAACAACAATATTTCAGATAAACTGAATTAAATTTAAAAGTCTGAATCTTCAAACCTCGACAAATTGTATCTTGCACTATACAACAGTGACTTCCGTGTTCGAGAAAAATCAGTCATTGCCACCATGACAAACAATACTTGGCAGTGGCGGCACCAGTAGACTTTTAACCTCGAAATTTGTTTGATGAAAGGTTGGATGGAGCCCAAAAACACGGAGACATTCCCTAAACACAAATTATATAAGAGAAGGATTGAAATGACAGGTTTATGGAGTCTGAAGGCTATGAAGCAGAGATAATGTGGCATGCTGGCTAAATTATGTTGTATTTCATACCTTAATTTGTAATAAAAATAATTATTACTTCTATGGTTTTGCTGCTGATTAAATTTGACTAAATTTCTAGCAGTTTTTAAACATACAGTACATATAGTAATAACTACAATTTTCTATAGAACTTAACCTTATAGAACCATATTAAGATTACTTCTTAATATAAGAGCTTGTTTTTAATGCACATGTATTAAGAATAAGATTTTAAGTCAAAATTAAACATGCCACACATTATAAAATTAATTACAAATAAAAAATAAACAAATTAATTATATTAGAAAGTAATAAAATTGAAGACAAATATTTAAAAATACTAACTGTAAGAGAGCAGCTAAAAACCACAACCTTGAATCTTTCTTTCAAAGCTCTTAACCACTAAACATAAAAATTGGTTTTAAAAAAAAATCTTCAGAATACATTCTTTGAATATCTACAATTTGATTTGATATGATTCGATGATATAAAAAATATATTTTTGATTACTTTGAAGCCCTTTTAGAGTTTTCTATAAACATTTTTGTGTCTTTTCAAATAATTTGCATAATTAAATAATGTCTCAAAGTCAAAAAGACATGAAAAGCAGTGTTTGACAGAAAACATTTTTAAAACAATGTTTACCTTTGGAGGCAACATAGGCACTGAAAAAAGGTCAAGGTTGTCGTACATTTTAATACTATTCTACATATGCAAAGTATTTTTTATTTACACTTTTACTATTTTCTAAAATAAAATTTGCATAATTTATAACTAAATGTTAAACAAAATAGAAAAATGGAATAAAAATGGAATAATGGGCCAATCTATCAAGCTCACCAACAAAAATATGCATTCAAAATGCATACTTTAAAAAGTGAATGCAAATTCTAAAAAATTCAAATTTCATTTGCATCAGATTATTTTTTCCCTTCATAATTCTATCCCAATGTTTCTAATGACAACAAATTAAAAATCTATCTCCTCAATAATTAGAAAAAAATATATCCTTAATACTAATTCAGAATTTTATTTTCTTTGAGACTTCAAAAATCCTAAAAAATGGAATCTCCAAAACATTAAATGCAACATCCTGATGGCACAAGTAATTAAAATAATCAAAAATATATTTAATTTTTGAATTAAAATTAGCAGATAATTTATTAGAAGTGAAAATTTTCAAAAGAATTTATCTCCAAGCAACTGTAAATTAATCTATCTTCTACTCCGAGACCATTCAAGGATTCTATTTTAACGACTGCCAAAATACTTTCATTCAGTATTGAACTCCATGCAACAAGCATTCCACTCTTGTTACACTTAAGACATTTTTATAATTATTTACAAAAATATATTGCTATTAAAATCATTAATTTATCAAAATTTATTTGTTTTTTTTTACTATTTAATTTGCAAAATAAGAATAATAAACAGAAATTATTAATTTTAATTTTACTTTATTTTAAAATGCAATAAACAAAGGACTAACAAATGGAGAAAAAAGTGAAATTTTGGACCTGCAGCATTATTATTATTATTATTATTATTATAACATTTAATTTCAATGATGTAACAGGAGCTATAAATAGACATTCACAATGATCCGGCCGCAGTATTAACAACTAGCTACACAACAAGCCTTTTAAATTGCATAACCTTGATACACAGTGAGCTTTCTTCTAAAGTGTACTCGAAACTTCTTTGGACAAATGAACGACTGTGGCGGGCGACATGACTCTGCGCCACAGTCCCGTGCGGAAAGAAAAAATGCTAACGTAATTAATTAACAGGCCTTTTTAAGTCTCTCCTTTGAGCAATTTCTCAAGGTATTTAATTGTAATAAATTACAGACGTATCACTTGAGTTGCATGAAAGTGTACCTTATATACACAATATTTAAATGTTTGAACACTTAAATGTTTGAACACTTTATTAAATTATTTACTATAAAAATTCTAATTTGACTAAATTCTAATGTCAAGCTTTTAACTAATCATTTATTTAATTAAACAATTTCAAAACAAAAATTCTCAAGACCGAATTTATGAAAGTAATTCAAGTGTGAAAGTCTCGTTAATTAATACAAATTTGGCAGTGGGTGACATATACTTTTATATTCTTGTTTATTTCTGCAGTAGAATAATTACAGATATCTTAAGATGAGAAATATACAATGATAGCATTGATAAAAAATAATGCATTTGTAAAGTATATGCAACAATTATAGAATTATAAACAAACAAGAAGATAAATTTGAAGCATAAATTTATGAACATTTTATAAAAGTTTTATTGAATATTTTTTGTATATTTANATAGTGTTAATTCTTTATGTCCTTAAAATAAAAATGTCATCAATATAAAATTATTACAATTTTAATGTTTTATAAAAATTTTATTTAAAATTTTTTGATTGATTTTAATTTCAGTTACGTTGTATACTTTGAAATATTCCCTTAAGGAAATCATAGATGTTGTCGTGCACTCAAGTTTAATGTTCTCTCAGGCTTGTTAATTAACAGCTGAAATTGTTAATCGTACTTAATTAATCAGCTTTAATGATTAGAACTTAACTTCCTATTACAACTCTCGTGAATAATATTTATGTAATGACAAACTTTGAAAATATTATATCCTTTCTCTTCAAAAGTTCTTTTACTTCTTATTACATGCTTATATACACCTCAAATCTTGTGTAATTAATAGAACTGTTTTTGAAATTACTATAAAATATTTTATTTATTCTCTGAATTCTCTCGAAGTTTTATTTATTCGAATAATTATAGAATTTTATTTAATTCTCGATAACTACATTTAAATCTACAATAGTTATACTTAAGGCAGATGCACGAGTGGCAAAACTGATGCGACTATGTCGTCCATGACAAATTCAACCAATCGCTCATTTTAATTGTCAAGGTGAAAATAAGAGACTGGTGACAACGTCGTTGGTGTTCGATGTCGCCCGTCTACATAGGTCTTTAGAGTTTAAAAATCTATTGTAAAGCGAAATAATATTTAGAAGAGTATATATATTTTTTATGTAAAGAGTATGTATGTATTTATGAAATTTTTTTTTTACATTCTTGTTGAGAGAAATATTTTTTTAACAAGTTGGAAACTATTTCATAAATAGTTCGAAGCCTTAGAAATATTTCACTAATGGACTCGTAAAAGGAATAAATATTTCGGGTTGTGATATTATTTAAACGAATATATATTTAAATATAGAAACAATCTTAAAAGTGATTTGAGAATGTTTACTTTGAATATTTAATAAATTTTAAGCTCTATTCAGATGTTTATGAACGGGTCGTCGAGAGCTCGTATGGAGCTTGGAGATAGAATGGACCCCTTTTGCCAACTTTTTCTTAAACAGAATGTTTCTTTATTAATAAAAAACAGTCTCCAAGATTTTATCTTCTATTAGTAGAAATAACATTATTTTACAGAGGTATAAACTACTATGAGTCCCCTAAATCTCCTCCAGAACAGAGAAAAACTCCCAGCTCCCCTCTTGAATTATAATTGAAATGACATATATTCACAAAACATAAGCATAAACTTGTAATGTGAAAGATATGTTACAAAACTGACTATTTTATTCTTATAAATTGGAGATAATATATTTGTAGCTTTATTTAATAAAGAAAAGATATTTTTTTTAAAATAATTACAGAAAAAATAGTCATTTTATACAAAACTAATTCATAATTGTTGAATGCACAAGCTTACGAAATGAATTGTAAAAAAATTACCAGACAGATAAGCTATTATTATAAATATAAATTCATTCATGCATAAAAATAATTTGAAAATAATTGTAAAATAATTTGGACGTAAGATTTTTAAACTCACAATTTATTTTTATTTTACTTAACAGAAATAGAAAAATGGAATTAGAAAAAACTCATATATTTTCTACTATATATAAAATTTAAATGTTACAAATTATTCACATTACTTTTAAAATCTAAAATGTTTATGTATTCGAAACAAGTGATGCGCGTAAAATATCATTTCAAAAAGTTCACTTTTTAGTCAAACGGAACCAATGAGTCTAAAAGTCTACTTTAATGTGCGTAATAAACATTTTCTCGGAGCAAACAATTCTCAGAAAATTTGAAATTTTGCTCCAAAAAAATGACGTTTAAATTGGATCGGATACATTAGAAAAGCTTCCTTAAGAAATAGTTAAACTCACACCAATAAAGACTCGTGTGAAAATATGCTACACAAATGCAAAAATTCATTACAAATAAAACAACATTGTTTAAGCCAGTATTTTAGTTTGTACATTAAAATAGTTAATTTAAATTCAATCAACAAATTGCAATTTTTTAATTTTTATGCTAGAATTACTCTCCTGGCTGTTAAATAACATAATACAGGAAAAGTATTGAGATGAGTCAAATTTTGACCTCTCAGAGACCAGAAGTGTAGAAAAGCCCTTACAAAATTATGCACATGCTTGTCTATTTTGCATTACTACTCAGGATTAGGTGAAACAAACATCTTGAAATTTGGCAAGAGAATACTATATATGAGGCATTGATGCTACTAAATTTTGGTGGTTAAAGGTTGAGGGGGAGAGGAGATAGGAGTTCACTTGTCATATATCAAGTGGGGTTGGATTTAAATGCAAATTACGAGTAAAATTTTTATTTACATTACAGAGTTTTTTAGAAACCTCACCCTTAACTTCAAAAATAAGATTTTTGCTTTTTTATTATAAATAATACAAAAATTATCTTTTAATAAAATCTCATAACAGATGAAATCACACAACTTTAAATTTGTACCTTACTCTTACTGCTTTTTAAGTTAAAAAAGCAGTAAGAGTAAACAGTAAGAATAATCTTATTTGAAAAATAGAAAAATTTCTCAGAATTTAATAGAACTATTCCTTTTTAGGTTTTATTATTAATTATCATCATCTTCATCATTAAAATTTTATATTGAAGTATAATTGAAAATCATCAAACTTCCTTTCTAGTCATATTAACCTCCCATCCGAGTGCCAGGAAAGTCGTGCCCTTGCTGGCTTTATTATATTAAAGAACACACACAAATTACATATATACTCATGCTCATAACTACACAAACTGTATAAGCTTTATATCTGTAAGCTTGTAATACTATATATACTGTTATATATATCTTGACTTTACACAATGTACAAATAAAAATTCAAGTAAATCTAGAATGCCTTATTTTAAAGAAGATAAAGTTAACACTACTGAACACAGAGTAAATATGACATAACAAGAGTGTTTAGAATATTTTTAATATTTTTTGTATCTGCTTTATCTACAAAAAAAATATTTAAGAAATTAAAACATTTTAGATATAACAAGAAAATATATTAATGCAAAACACTTGGCATCAATATACTATTCCTCCAAGTGATTATTTTTATTACAAAGATAAAATTTTGTCAATAACATTTCTTTTATAAAGCGTGAAGGCTGCTAAAATTATCAAATTATAATGAAACATCTCAGTTTCACTCAAATGCTAATCTAAGAAACTTATTTCAAATGTTTTATAAGATAACAGTGATCTGGAGAAAGACTTCTCGCCAATGACTTACACAATAGAATTTGGCACATTAATCTCTGCTTTCAAACATTAACTTACCACTATAAATAATAATGCATAAGACATTGAGTTTATAAAAAAAATACAACAAGATAGATCTACCAAAATTAATACATTTTTAATACCTTTAACAAAATACTAATCATTTAATTTTCTCTTCAACAATTTTTGATAATCCAAGATAATTTAAATCTCAAGATTAAAATACTTTTATGTGAAGACTTTGTGATACAAATGGCTTCGATAACAGGCAGAAAAAATTCCAAACAAAAATTGTATTTCTTGAATTTTAATTAAACAAATCAATAATCGCACTCGAAGCTCAGACATTTTGGCAATTATTTAAATCTAAGTGTAAATTTTTTGCTGTGATAATTATTAAGTATAAAGAAAAATAAATCATGTAAATGTGATTAAGCTTAATGTTTCAAAAAACATTTTTAGGTAGTTAATTTCTGGGAATTTTTATTCATTATTTTAATTTTTTTTTAACTTAAAATCACACAAAAGAATGGAATTTACAATAAAACCATTATGTAACATTCCATGACATGACATTCAGATAAAACAAATCTAATAATGCAGAATCAATTATATGTAAACGAGATAGATCGTAAAAAGTCAACAGTCCAACGTTGCCAATTTTTATCAAGTCCCTTAATTTCGAATTCCATTCCTAAATACTTGTAATATATACTAAATAAGGAATGGTCTCATACAGACTGCAAAGTGATACACTTGGACTATCTATTTTAAAAATAAAGCAAAGATTTCACCATGAATTGCAATCTACATTTTTATTTTTTGAACAAATAATAATAAATATTCAGAAATTATATATTTGATAGCTTACTTTTGATTAAATTTCACATCTCTATATTGATATAAGAATGATTTTTATACACCTTTGCAGTGCGATCCTTATAAAAAAGTTATCAACACAGATAAAATTTTTAATTTAGAAAATTGATAATAAATAAATAAATATTGAGATTTATTACAAAGCTTATCTCAATTATCATCATTTCACACTTAAAAATAGCAATTATTGACCGAATTACAGTAAAGAATTCACAGTCAGTTACTAAATAAAAGCATTTTTAAAAGATCTATTTGAAATATTTTGCTATTCATAAATTGCTAAATACAGTATAATATTTTTCAAATCTTTCAAATACATTGCACCAGTTTGGTATCTGAGAATGAATGAAAACTTGCGCACGTTGTTTAAATTTACAAATATTTCTGAACTAGCTGTTACCCGCGACTTTGCGCGCGGAGATTTTGCAAGCAAACCCCATTTATATTCAGTATTTCAACAACCATAGTAATTGTTATATAACACCTACCGCCGAGAATGATGAGAATTGCTGAGAATCAAACAAANGTAGATAAAACAAACACAGAAATAAATAACACAAAATAAATTGTACCTATGCGTCGATTCCGCGCGACATTTCCGAACATGTAAGCTGAACAATAGTGTGGGGGGAGTGAGTAATCAAGAGTTGTGTGGCGTTCAAACAAGACGAATCAGCGAGATTTGAAAATTGTATAACTCTGGGTTCGCGTAAGTCGAGGTATTACTGTATTTCAAAGTCCACACAAAATTAGATACAATACTACATGCATATGCAGTCAGATGGCATTAAAGTCTATTTTATAATGCAAGTACTTTCAACGATATAAAATTGTCCTCACCGGCAAACAAACGTTTTGAATTTAGAACAGATCATTATTATGTGCAGTACAACATTCTTGACATTTAAATATTCCAAACATACTCGTGAATACAAGAAAAACATACAGTTCTTTCTCATACTCGCAAGCCTGGAATTCCATCGCAAAATTTTAAATGTTGAGAACATTGCGTCATACGCGACATTTGTTCTAAATTCAAAACATTCATTAGCCCAGTGCCGACAATTTCATATCATTGAAAGTACTCACATTATAAAAAAGATTTTAAACCCATTCAACATTCAGCAACAGCATTCTCGTCTAGTATTACATTCAGTAAGTTTGCATTCACAAAACACAATTTCATTAAAGCCGACACAACCAACAGACTTCCAAAAAGAAAAAAAATAAGCAGAAACATCAATTTTTAAGCCCATACGTTTGACCCAAACAAAGAACAAATCAGAGCACCAGGTGCAATCCAAGAGATCCAAGGCAGATCCAAATGGTGGAGAAAAGAACACGGAGAGACAGAACTGTGGGAGGTGGACCGAACGATCTTCCCGCTCTGACATCTCAGCCTGTCCTCCGGCAAGCCAGCCAAGTGGATTCCGACAGGGCCCGAAATCCACTCCTACACCCCGGAAAAAGGTCGAAACCGAGAAAAAGGCAATCCGGATGCCATCCGATCCCAAATTCCATACAAATCGAACCCAGCTAAACTACCAAATTCGACACACGTCAATCGGAGCGCCCCAGTATACAAAGCCACACAAAGAAAAAACAAATAAAAAATCAATTAAAAAAATAAAAAAAAACAGATAAATTTTGTATATACAAAATTTGCCACGGGATCGGGCACAGTCGCCATTTTGAATTTTTAAACATAATGGGGATAAGTGGCATTTTAAAAGATGCCAAAGGGAGGGAGGGGAGAGGAGAGAAGGAGCCATTTACCTGATGTAGAGCGGTCAATCCGTCGACGTTTGCCGTGTTAATGTCGGCTCCCTGGCTCAGGAGCCTTTCAACTTCTTCCTTGTCGCCGGAAGCGCAGGCGGCCAAGAAGACGCATCCATCGCTAAATCTGATCTTTTTCTTCTTGTCTTTCGGAGGATCGGACGACACTCGATTCGTTTCCGACTCTTCCCACCTTTTCAACTGTTCGGCCCTCTTGAAGAGAGCGTTGCTCGAACGCGTTTCCATAGGCATAGGAACCGTCTTTAGTGTGAAACGGCGACGATCCAAATCCCAAATATAACGCGATTTTGCTTTAACACCGACATTTCGTCTTTTTAAATCTACGGCTTCGATTTTAGGCACATCGACGTCCCGTTTCCGACATTCGAGTAGGGATCGATACCGACGCCGAGAGGAGCCACCGTCGGCGCCTCGCTCTATTTTTTCTTTTTTTTTTATTTTATTTATTAATTTTCCATTTATTATCCTTTCTTTAAATTTTTTTTCTTCTAAATTCAACTTTAAAAATTATGAAATTTTGGTGAGATGGAAACGATATATCTGGCACGTTTCTTATTTTAAGATTTTCGTATATCCTCTTCGCCATTTTAACTTGGGTTGGCGAGAATTTAATTTTATTAGTCTTAAATTTATAAATAAATAAACCATTGGGGAAAATAAACTAATTAAATTAAAATTTAATTTTAATCGGTAATTATGGGGAAAAAATGACAAAAAGTTGGCTAAATCTCGGTATATTCGCTCCGAGAATCACGTTAAACGGTTCTTAAAATAGAACATGATTCGACCTGGGAGGGGGTCGTTTTCTGCTAAAATGAGAGGTTGTGAATATTTTTAGATGAATAGACCTCCCTCGTCGGGTTATGAATAAACGTCACACCTTTTATTACGAATTGGCGAATGATTTTATGTAATTATTATTATTCCGAAATAGTTTATATTTCCGAATTACTTCTTTATTTAAAACTTGCGACTAGCAAATTGACATTTCATTAATTAATTAAAAAATGAATTTAACTTCCGATTGAATAAATTAAATTTTTATTCGTTTCTACGTTAAATATTCTATTAGAATCTATTTAAAACCCGAAAATTGCAATATTTATCATTCCATCTTCGTCATTTCGGTGATGGAAAGTCGATATGTAGTAAAGAACGTCACGTCCAGTTGTAAATTATACAACTTTATGACGTATTGTTGTTTAAGCACTTTATTTATTCGTTCCTTTGCGTGTTCAGTAAACTAAATGAAACTTTTCGGGGGCCGTCCACTTATCCGAGGGGGTCAACCTCAGCCCCAGCTCACAAAAGGTTCCCTTTCTATCTGACTAGCGAATTGGTGGCATTTGAATATTGTTTAATACAGAGTGAGTGTGCCGAGTTTTAATATTTGGTCCAATTTTCGCGAAATTTAATCGATTGGCCAAATGTTTATGCCTATAATCCAAAATTTCTGTAATCTGGTACTATTGATGGATGCATCTAGACGTACTTCGTATTATAATCAGCAATGCGCCCGGATTCGAAACCGATTCAGAATTTATTTTGCATTTATTTTTGAATATCTTCAAGTATCCTCGTCGTAACTTATAAAGATTCAAATTTAGGCAAGATGATTTTGAAAATTTCGTAGTCACGATTAATTAAATACCCCATAAAATTCAAATTATAGACGATGGCCGAGTGGCTAAGGTGGCAGCCCACCGCTCTGGAGGATCCGTGATCGAATCCGGACTGGGTCGATAAACCCCAGGAATTTTTCGGGAGCGTAATCTCTCCAGAAATGTCAAACCCCTCCCTCACCGTTGGGCACTCTATTGTGGGCCTGGTCAGCTTGCTTAAAATAGGTCCTCTTAGCTCTCGCAAGGCGGAAATAATTATTTCAAAAATCAATTATATAACAATGAAAACATGAATCACATATATAAAATAAAACTTCATACAGATGATTCAGATATTTCTCGTGTATCTCCGACTCCGATATCTAATTGCATTGTTAACATACGTCGCCCATTTCTCCCACACGTAAACCTAAATCGATTAAATGCTCTTTGCGAATGATTTATTTATTTTATTGCTAGTCAATTGCAAAAGTTACTGATCAACTACAATTATTAAAAGTTTTTGATTGCACCTACATTCCTACAAGTTTGTGTAGAAATTCCATCACGAAAAATCTAGAATTAAATTGAATTAGAGACTCTGGTAAAAACAGAACGGCGGTTTCATAGACAAACATTCATATTTCTTCCACCCGCCATTATTGATTCGAGCATTATAACAGTTGTGAGTCCCTGGGCTGGGATAAAAAACATTCTTTCAAACCAAAAATCGAAACAAAAACGAATCTTGATCTTCGCGATTAATTAAAATTAAGCAAACTAAATTATAAAGGTAAAGGGGTAAAATAAAAATTATTTTAATATTAAAACCACGCGAAAAACAGAGAAAAATTAGTAAATTAAAAGACGAATAAAAAAGGAAACTTAGTTAAGGTACAGTACAAGGTTCGTTCAACACCGAATTCAGATGGTGTCGAATTGTATTCGTAAACAATCGTCTTTCTCGGGAACTGATCGGGGTCCAATTTCATCTGGTAACAGAGAAAGACCAGTCTGCGACCGCGAAAGGGGATTAATAACCAATAAAGTGACGATTTGCGAGACGAAAAGATATTTAACAGGGACACTTGGTTCTTTGCCGTGGCGTCCCACGAGGCTATGTCCCTCGTTGGGGTGCTTCCCGCAAAGTTCCATCTTCGTCCTTTGTCGATGTATCCTCCAAAATAGTATTAGACCTTCGCTGAGAGAAACTTCGGACATTCCGATCTGCATTCATCGGATATCGTTTCCTGTTCGACAACTGGACTTAGGATGCAACATCCGGTCAGCGAATGGAAACCACTTTCTTCGCAGAACTTTCTTCTTCTTCTTCTTCTTTGAAAACTACGCGCCGAAATATACAAGGACTTCAGCTCTTCGTGACTATGACGTTTTTGTAAGTTAAATTGTCTAATAAACGGGTTATGTTGTTTATAAACGAGGCATCGATCTCTGACTCAACCGCTCCCACATGACGTTGACTGTTACCGCTCGGAAGTCCAGACCGCAATGGAGAAGATAACGAAATCACATATGATCGTTATTTTTTCGTTTTGAAATCTTCCCCTCGGCCTCCTTACACAGTTTAGTTTTCCTTTCGTGCCACTGATTCGTATCATTCGAAGAACAAAAATTACATTTTTCAATTGTCCGTTATATCGATCGTAACCGAGAAATGGCGTCATTTGTCTATTTCCTGTTTCGTTCCCGATACAATCGAAAATTCGCTACAGCGTACGGAAAAGAAAATAATTTATAAGCATCACTTAAAGTTTGGATATTTTTCGCCATAAACCGTACCACTTGGTTTCAATTTCTGTCTATTACGAAACTTGTAATGGAATCGGCAAGTACAAAAATGGAAAGAACGTCTCGACCTTCCTATCACTAAGGCAATTATTGAAACTTGGGATTAAATTTAAACCATGTTTTTCGTAATTCAAAAATTCTTGACCGTAAATAAGATCAAAACGTATTTGGCTTCGCGTAGAAATTGAACCCACTTCTTTCACCAATTAAACTGCGTTGTTAGTGGATTTTTAATATTTCGCGATTTGTGGCGTGTAGTTTTTTCTGTGTGTTCTCTCTCTTCCCGTGGTCACTGAGAGGAGTTTTCTATACCCATCCCATGATTCAGCTTTTTTACACGTTTTATATTCATACGAGCCTACCTGCTATATAGGTCATGTAGTCTGTAGATACCGTAATTCACTTTTGCTTTGACTTTGTCTCGAATTTTTGGATTTATGAAGGTACTCTTTTGAAGTTCTTGCGAATTTATGACATAAATTCCTCCTCTTTCTAGTTTGAAGTCTAATGATTCATTTATGTATTCAACCGTGTTGCATGTTACGTGGGACGAACATGCAACACGGTTGAATACATAAATGAATCATTGAAAGTTATATATTTGTAGCACGTGAGCATATTTGAAGATATAACTGGAGGCCAACATTCAGTGTAGTAAGTAATGAAATAGAATAAAGATCGGAATAGGATTCAAACTCTGATTCTTATCAGCAATAGGACAAAAAAGTGCTATTTCAACTACGTTTCATACTTAAAACGCATGTATCCTTATTGCTTACTTGTGTCATCTTCGAAAAAAATTTTCAAATGTCGAATGCTACGCTTCCAAATCTTTGCTCGTGACATCCTGAGGCATATTCGGGAAGTATGAGAAGGGGAATTAAGAAACTAAGATTAAAGAATGGCATGTTTTAGGCCTATCTACAAATAAAAATTTTACGCGCAAACTTATTTCGGATGCTCTCAACAATATCTGAACACTCCTTTCATGAAACCAATAGGAAAACATTAAATTCGGTAAGCAATCATATTTATATCTGAATGTAATAATTTAAACACCCAACATATAAATTAGACAATAATAATAAAAAAAATCCAAGCACGAAGCACGAATTTTGGATGTTTCATGCTTCGTGCTTATATTTAACTAAAAATCTTATAATCGATTCAAATGACGAACGAGTCATACCTAGAAAAATCAACGATCTACCTACATCAACTTTATGCTTATCTAATGTAAATTTGGAAGTACAATTGAGGTATAGCTCAAAAATACGTCTCACAGTTCTATACGTTAAGATACTAAACGAGGGCAAATTCTGGAAGCACTGATCACGAAATTGAAACTCATAAGTGCTTTAGTTTCCAACAAGAAATAATTTTCTCAATAATTCCATTTAAAAAAGCAAGATGGACGCATCAGTATTTACCATAAGAGCCACTAAAAGTTGGGAACTTCGTCGCAGCAAATGATAGTAGTAACAGCATCAACATTACAACGAATCGATCGCTGTTGTTTACAACGAAATAGTCATGGTTTCTATAGAAACAATTCTCATTTACTACTTTTCGATATAGCCCTTAATCTTCGTGGTTTCTGCTAATGGAAAAGTATATTATACGTCACGTTTAGTGAATATTTATGGTATGCATCGAGTAGCTCTCAACAATATTCACTGTGAATATGGAGGTAAATAATAGATACGTTTTCTAACTTTCCTTCCGAGCTTCATTAATGTTATTTTATTTTCTGAAAGAAAAAATATAAGAAAAAGAAGGGCATTAAGAAGAAATTGAGTAAACAGAGTACCGAAGGAGACGAGTCTAAAGAATCGCAAAAAGGTAATGTTTATTTCATACAATTCGTAAATTGTGAATAGAAATGTGAATATTCGACATTCGTTGTATCGTGCTTAAAGCATAATTTGAACACATTTATTGGACTTCAATTTGAAAACATTGTAGACCTATAAAATTCCCACTGTCGTCCGTCTGACGGTCTTTCCTTAATCTCAAGAACGGTGTTAGATAAACGAAATTCAAGACTAGACATGACAGCTTAGAGACAGGAGGCTCCGATTACCGGAAGTCACCTTACTTCAATTCACAAATTTTCCCCCCGAAGGTGGGAAAATTTGTGAATTGATGTTAGATGTCGGCATTAAAAGAAAAGTGTGATGTACAGGTGCAAGCCACTACTAATTTGAAGTGGAGAGCATATATTTTAAATTAAATAAATTAAAAATTGCAGCCCGGCATTGTGACCATATCACAATAAATAATTGCTCGTTTTTTTTAACTTATCTTCCCTCTAGAAGAAACCTTGATACCATCTGAAAATCAGAAAAGTGTAGAAGTTGAAGAACATCCGACAGAAATTACAGAAAAAGATGTAAGTATTGTAACAAAAAACAAATTTAAAAAATAAATTACTAAATAAAGATGGAATATCGCTAAGTGTTAAAATTGTAACACATCTTGTGTTAAGTGAATCAAAAAAATTTAAAAATAAAATACTGTATAGGCAAACTATTGTAACTTAACGTTTTTGTCTGATGGTGATAATGGATCATAGTTAAAATATTTTAAACGATCAATTTCGGCATCCAATCATCATCATCCTCATGTTCCTATTTCATATTGTAAAAATACAATAGTCTCGATAATCCGGCCGCTCGCTAGTTCGACACACCCAGTAATCCGACACTAGTCGAACCTCGAGTATTGCCTCCATATTGCCAAATTGTACCGGTACAAGCTTCTCACCAGTTCAAACTGCAATTGCTACTAAATTTGAACACCTACCAACTAAAGGTGGCAAGATATTCGTATCGAATCATTTCCACCAAAAATACTGTATCTTTTCCTAAATTTTCCATGATAACTACAATTTCCCACTAAATATTGTCGGAATCCACTGACTTTGTAACATTTATCACAAGTAACATCAACGTGTTGAACATTTGATCAGTAGTCCAAGTTGTATTTGTTGCATAATTAACAGTTGACTCTAAGCTTTCAAATTTGTTTACGTGCCAACGAATTCACCTTACTTTCAATAATCTGGCAATCTCCTTAATCCAACAGTTCTGGTTCTCATATTCGTCAGATTATCGAGATTGTATTATATCAATGAATGGGATGAGAATCGTCACTTACAATTTCATAATATGTGAATGAAGTAATGCTTTTTACTGAATATATATATATTTTTTAAACTCTGTTCTGTTGGCACTAAGATAGTCTTTAACCAATCAAACCAATGCTAGGTATGCAAGAAGGCAACATAACACGTGGCTTCTAGGAAGGACATGTAAAAAAACCCCAGGAAACTTCATGTAACCAGCCCACTGGTGAAGTGAAAATCTGCAACCTATATTTGAGTTTTATCTACTTGGCCACTTTATAAGTTTGACCAGGCCCACAATGGGGACACTAGTTAATTAGGGAGAGGGTCTATCTGGTAGATAAGTCAGCCACAAAAATTTCATGGAGAGTTACTTGCCTAGATTTGATCCCAGGTTCCAGAGGCTGTGCCTTGGCATTCAGCCATAGAGGTCATCAGTTGTAATCAGTTATTTATACTATACGTCACTTACTGTTTGTAGTTATTCCTAACCTATATTGATGGGCAAAATTTAGCAGCATGATGCATTTGTACACTTAAAAACCCATGAAATATTTCTATATACCATATGAAATTTCATAAAGATCATGCTATTGAAAATAAATACCATATTTTATTATTCAGGAGAGTGCAATCAGGGAAATTCAACTGAAGGAGCTGCACTCAATCATAACAGATCATGAAACAGTATCAAAACAAAATGCAGTTAGAGAATGGATTGACAAACAGGTAATTGCAAATAAAGAAATCTATTTTATAACCATTTTAAATTTAAAATTTTATATTCTTAGTGGCAACTGTCTGCATGGGGAATGCCAAATCCTCTAGTTATGCCAGAAGTAAATTCGTACATCATGGCACAGAGAGATGAGCAAGAGGAGGATGCTCTCATTATCTTGAAAGAATGTCGTACTTGTTTACAGGTATTTCATGTAAACATTTATAGTTTTTCAAAGATAAATGCCTTGTTTATCACCAAAAATCAATTTTTAGTTGATAAAAGAACTAAATCTGGCCTTAGACAATGCTCCAGATAAAACAACTGACAAAGAAATCAAGTGGAAAGAGGTGTATCACAGTATATTAATCTAAATTATATTAATATAATAAATAATTGTTATATTTACACATTACAGTCTTTGAAAAATCTTCAAGATTTGCTGCAACAGAAAATAGAAAAAACAATATATAGTTTCTTGGTTGTATGTTGAAAATCTTCTAAATACAAGGTCGTCCAAAAATAATGCTACCATTTTAAATTATTATAATTATGTTAATTACTTCCTGAGAATATTGTAACATATGTTAAAACATTGGAAAACTGTCCAAGTTTCACATTTTTTCCATTACAATTTCTCAACAGGTGCGCCTTGTGTCGCATAACACGTCCCACCAACCAATACTCACGTCAGAATCTTCCTATACTCGCTACATATATAGTAATAGCATATCTATTATCCTCCTCCACAGTAGCCCCAAGTCTACAGATGATAATGTAATTCCCATTGAATGTAATATATATTTATATACGAGAGCACTCACCTCCTGATTTGAAAGGGAAAAAATGAAAGGTCAGGAGATGAGACATGTAACACATGCTAAGTATATGGGGCCCAGACCCAATACTTAGCAAGTATGTTACATATTGGAATTTGAATCCAAAAAATATTTTTATCATTGTTAATAGGGTGCCTGAATAAGAGAAATCTTGATAGAATTTATTATGTTTTGACTCATATTTTAAGGGTAAGCTAAGCTATTGGGTGCATACTACAAAAATTTAATCTCCTTAAATTGTTATCACCTTATATTATTTAGTTTGGGCCTGATCTCGGAAAGAGTTTTAACAGTGAGTACCTCTACTTGATTTGTAGCTTAATTTACTTTTGTTTCTTCCCATAATTTTTTGAGATGGACTGAAGGGGAAAAATGAAAGTAGAACAAAGTACTGTACTTATTTTGTTCAGTCCTTAGCTCCTCTTTTGATTTTAGTTGGTTCATTGTTTCTGTTTTTGTAGGATTTTTTAGTTTTATTTTGTTACTATTTTAGCTTGGTTTAATCAGACTTCTTTGAGGAAAATTTTGACTTATTCTTCTATTATACATGTGGATGTTGAGGGTGCACATTTGTCTGTTTCTTTTGGGTGAAGTATTATTTCGTTTATTTCTTGTTTAGTATTGTGTCGGTAGGACTTTTTTCTAATTCGAGGTTGTGCATTTAGGACATTTGTTTGTGGTTAGGTTAATTAGTTTTTTTTTGTTAAGAATGGAGGGTTTCCTCCAATGTTGGGACTTTTTCCTAAATGGTATTTAATTGTTAGTCTTTTGAAAGAATGTTTTTGTCCTGTTTTTTAATTTTTTCTTATTTAGTTAATCTTTATTATTTTTTTGTTTATTTTATGGTGCTTTATTTAGTGGTATGTCTTCTTTTTGTGTTGTTGGGATTTTGTTTTTTTTTGTGTTGTGTTTGATAATTTTTTAGTTTAGTGGGGTTTTTTATCCTATTCTTTTTTTTATAAGCATTAAGTTAATGAAACTAATAGCCTTCAAAGCTGTAAATGGTGGGTCATTCTTAGCTGATTTGGACTTTTAGATTTGAAATTGAATGTTTTGGTTAAAGTAGTCAGCTGTGTTGGTTTGGGACTATTTCACAATTAAATTTACAATTTTACTTCTGGAGTTTCACTTGCTCAAACCTTGCAATGACTGTATTCTACAAATCATAAAAATATTGGGACTATATATTTGGTTTTAAGTTTAGTAGGAACTGCTTTGAGTTTAATTGTTCAAGGGAGATTGGTACGCAAGTCTACAACTGTATTCTGCAGCTCCTGCAGATTACTCATGTTACACAATGATAAGTGATTCAAACTGCAAACTGCAGAACACAAAATGCCTTCTCTGTTGCAAAGTCGCCATTTTCATTTATGACACTTCCTAAAGTTAATAGATGATGAGATGTTTGAATGCAGATGGAAGTTGAAACTCAAATGGTCTTCTATCAATTGGTATATGGCACATACTTCTGAAATAATAACATAATTACAGTGTAATTTAAAATGGTAGCATTCGTTTTGGATCACCCTTTACCTTGTCTCATTTTAATTATTATTCTGTTTAGAATTCAAATGAATACATTGATATAAAAACATTCAACATGCAGCACGTGCAATACGACCACTTAGATGAATATCCAACAAGAAAGATTGAGATTTATCTATGGGGAAACTTGTCACAGATTCCAAGATACGAAGGCCCCAAATTTGCAGAAGGAGGGCATGAAATTCAAATCCCTTATTTCCTAAAGATAAAGAAATGCGCAATAATTATTTTACACACAGCATTTGATTTTTATTCTTCACTTCATACAATACCAGAAGAAGAAAAGTTAACAGAAGAGCAGAAAGAAACTGGTAAAATTTTTAAATTAAACACTAATGTTAGATTTAAGTACAGATAAATATAAAAAGTCAACAACAGAGGTGGCAGCATCACCGGACAACATTGGCGGCGGCATTGAGGTTCAAATCCTGCCTGCCGAGCCGAATAAACTGACAATTGCAGAACAAGAACAATATTTGTCCCCAAAGACTCCCTCTTCTAAACGTGAAAGTTTTTCTACTGCATCAGCTGGAAGCGAAATTAAGAGTCGAGTAAGTCCTTGAGAGTTATTATCTTATACTTTTATTTATTGTCCTTCCATTGTACAAGAAATTAATCTCAGAATTTCATATATCATTGTCATAATTTTATTTTATTTCTTGAATATTTTATTTTTTAAAAAAATATCATTTTTTTTATTAATTTAGCCAGAATCTGTTCAATCTAATAGAAGTAATATAAATGAAGAAGGTAAACTTTTATAACTCATTAGTATAAGAAAATTATACTTTCTTGGAATGAAATCTTGAAATTCAAATGTTTCAAGCCTTGTTGGTTTGACTTTTAGAACACAAACTATTATGAATGAGTAAAAAAAATTCAAAATATATTTTTTTGAACATTTTTTGCCATGAAAATAAGCCAGCAAAACTTTGAAGAATTTGAATTTCAGTTGGATTCTTGAGATTTCTAGGTTGTCTTTGTTTAATATATTTCAAATTTTAATAAAATTAATTTAATTAAAAGAGGATGAACCATCAGAAGTGATTGACATGGTGGGAAATTATATCTTGGGTGGTATATTTCAAGTGGAGTTAGTAGAAATACCACCTCAACCTGTTCAGAAAGGATGCTGGATTATACAACAAGGTTTGTGTGAAATATATTTATATTTAATAAAGCATCATTGTATTCACAATTTTGGCATAAACTATAAAAAAATTTTGCTTAAAAATAATACATTTACTTATTTTGAAATTTTGAAAATTTCTTTTATCACCATCAAATTTCAGAATCAACAGAAAGCAAAACTGCTTATCTGATAAATAAAGTTATTTTTATAAAGGAAAAACTTGTATTGTGCCATATAAAATACTAATTTGCTCATTCATTAATGCTTTATAATCCTGTTAACAAAATGATAAACAAGAAGATGATCTCTTTTCATATTAAAATTGCCAATATTTAATAGCAAAGCAAGAGTGATTCTCATAATAAGAAGGGTTGTAAGCATTATCACAATGAATCCCCATTTAGAAAAGAGCTTTTGTAATTGGGAGGGATCATCCTATAAGTGAAAAAACCAAGCAAATAGTACTTATAAGGACTGTAAAACCTTACAGCATAGACAGAAAAGTAAAAGAAAATTTGCTTAAACTTTAAAATAAGTGAATGCAACAATAATAATGTCAATTCAAAATTTAATTTACAGAGAAAATTCCATAATTAATTTTTCTACAAATCAAAAGTTTCTTATGTTTTAGTGGAAGACATACCAAAACCAAGATGCATTCCTTTCTATGTGAGAGTGGTTCCTCCCCGTCCTCCAAAACCTAACATGAAACCCACCGAAGTGGCCAGCTTTGCAGAATCTGAAAATAAACGCTACGAAGAAGAACTGGTCAATACTGCTTCCATTTCTCTAACGTAATTTCATTTCTGTATGTAGAAATATGTATTATTTAAACAACAATTCTTCGTGTTATTTACCATTACATTAAGAACAGCATAGTTACTTATAAACAAGAGAATACTTTAGAAAGTTTAACTAGTCCAGTACTATTCATTAGTCTCTATGTGCTTATGCTTTTTATTTTAATACAGGGTATTAGTTTTAACAAAAGCGAAGTTTTATGTATGATTTACTCGCATTTACTTTAAGAGATACTGCAATATCTCTTAAAGTAAATGCGAGAAGTGTCCCCAGAGGCCCAAAATCTGGGGAGTAAGATTTAGAGACATAACAGGAGATTATGTGATCAGCAAAGAAGTCTTCCAGAAACTATAGTCCAAAAACCGAAGCATCTACAAGCAAGTGGTAATACCATCTACCACAAAATGGAAATGCAAAACATACAACTTACAAGTCTTGTATGTAATGCCATACATATAATTTTAATGTCATTACAAATTTCTCCTGCATAGTAACTTTTTGGAAAACCTGTATGTAATATTGTTCAAATTATATTGAAATATATTTTGAAGCAAAACTGACATTTTCATTACTGGAGTAAAAAAAATTCAAATGCATAATAAATAATAAATTAAATTTAATGTTTAAGTTGCAAAATTCTTTTCGTACGATAATATTAAACCAATAGCAGATTCTTTTCTTATCAAATATGCATAAAACTGCAGCACAAAATTAAAACTCCTGGAGATAATGCTCCTCAATGTAACAAAAATTAAAATTATGTACACAAATTTGTTTTTATAAATAAGTACAAGCTGTCCACTGTACCATGAGATTATATTAAGTTTAAATTTACAAGATACTTTCAAAATTCAGATGAAACAAGAGTTAAATGCATTTTGTATGTCTGTAAACTTGTTCTGACAGCCAGAGCTCAAAACGCAAAACCAAAACCTGGGACGGCATTTTAAAATTGCTGCTATAATACAGAACAGCAGAAATGATAATTGCAAAAAATACAGTGTATTGACATGAAATACTGTACATGGAAACAAAACCTGAGTATGGAAAACAATGTTTGTGACACAACTACCACTTTCATGGAAACAAAAACACACACATGATCACACTGGGGATATGTCAGATAACTAAGAGGCTGATTTCTTTAACCTATTTGATGTTGAAAATCTTCTCTGTTGCCTGTAATGACATGTTGAATTTTCATCAATGTTAAGCCTAACAAAAATTTTTTTGTGAATTTTCTGAAAATTTTTTTTTAAAATAATAATGGTGTTTACTGTGTCGTTAAAAATTATTTTTTCATGTTGCACAAACAAAATAAATATATTGAAAAATATAAAACCTAAAAAATAATATTTTAAAACTTTGTTTTAATATAAAAATTGTGACGCATAGCAACATCTAGTATCAAAAACATTACAATGCAGACACAAAAATATTTGGGATCGCCCACGCAGGTCAATGATGTCAACACAAAAATTTTCGGGAACAATGCAGGACAGGTTAAGAACTGTTTATAATTTAACAATTTTATCAGAATAAAGAAAATACACTTATTGCCATAAAAATTAGTGCACCAAAAAGAATTATCATATTGCTGCAAAACTTGGCATGCAGATAAGTCTCAACCAGATATAGAATGATTAAGGATACAGTGTGATGGCTCATTGTGTAATTCCAGCNTTTATGTTGCACAAACAAAATAAATATATTGAAAAATATAAAAACAAAAAAATAATATTTTAAAAGTTTGTATTAATATAAAAATTGTGACACAGCAACATTTAGTATCAAAAACATTCCAATGCAGACACAAAAATATTCGGGATCACCCACGCAGGTCAATGATGTCAACACAAAAATTTTCAGGAACAACGCAGGACATGTTAAGAACTGTTTATAATTTAACAATTTTATCAGAACAAAGAAAATACACTTATTGCCATAAAAATTAGTGCACCAAAAAGGAATTATCATATTGCTGCAAAACTTGGCATGCAGATAAGTCTCAACCAGATATAGAATGATTAAGGATACAGTGTGATGGCTCATTGTGTAATTCCAGCAGAGAGTGTCAAAGTGCATCCCTCTTGGCCTGTAAAAAAAAGCACACAAAGTCATCCTGTCTGTAGTTTACCTGTTGAAGAGGGATGCTGTATCACTAGAGATGCCTTTATGTCACAACCGAAGACCATATAAACAACTAACTGAGTTTGTGAGGGGAAGGATCATCGGGCTTAGAGAAACTGTATGATCACCTTGCTGAATAGTGTCCACTTAGGCTATTCTGACAACACTGTGAGAAAATGTTGGGACCAGTGAATGAGAGAGAGCTCACACACACAATGCCAAGGATTAGGACACCCTCAGCAGTTCTCCAACAAGCATGCACATAGCCAACCATATCACTGTCTGCCATCCAGATATAGGTGGCGCCATCATTACAGGCCCATGTCTCCATACCATTTAGAGATGCCTGGGTGAGGAACATTTCATACTTCAGTGGCCATTATGTGTGCTGCCATTGACACCATGCACTGTTCCCTCTGTTTAGAATGGTGTCACTCCTGATGGAATTGGACTGCAACAGAATAGAGCTGGGTTGTCTACAACAATGAATCCAGATTCAGTTTGGATACTGACAACAGCCATGTTTGCATCTGGAGGCCTCAATGTGAATCAATCCTCAATCCTGTTTATGCTTTGGAGCAGCACACCACCCACACAGTCAATGTGATGGTCTGGGGTGCCATTACATATGACAGCTGGTCACCTCTAGTAGTGATCCAAGGGACCATGACAGCCCAATGGTATGCTAGTGACATCCTGTAGCCACATGTGTTATCATTCATGGCAGGGCTCCCAAGAGCCATTTTTCAATAATGCTCGACCCCACACAGCAAGGGTGTCACAGGACTGCCTCCACCATATTTCCACACTTCCCTGGCCTGCCCAGTCCCAATTTGTCACCAATTGAACATGTCTAGGTGAGCATGTTCACCTATTGAATATCCAAGACACCAAGTTAGATAGCCTAGTGTGAGAATCTGGAGACAAAATAAAAGCCTTTTCTTCAATTGGGAAGATTTATTTGGAATTTGTTTTAATTATTTAATAAATTAAATATTTTTTGTTAGAGAAATGAAATATATAATTTTTACATTTACTTTCAAAATTGCTAGAAAAAGGGAAATAAAATTTCCTTTTGGTTTATCAACTTCCTGTGGCAAGATCTTATCTCGCCCATTGATAATACATCTGTAAGTGTGACTCATCCCATGGATCCCATCACGTATAACAACGTGTCTCCTAATCGGAGATTAGGAGATAAAACCCTTTTATCTCCTAACATCCGAGTTTCGAGGGTATCGTCCGTCTCTCCCTCAGCAAAAGACTCAAGGAAAGATTCTCAAGAGGTGTTCTGGTGTCATAATCAATCCACTGAAAGACTTTGTACAAAGATATCTGACTGTCATAAAGAGGTATTATGTACTAAAGAATGCAAACTTTCTCTCTCAGTCAAATTAGAGGTGTAATTAGTTATATATTCTATATATTTTCTTCCCTTAGATATAATATCAGATCCTCTGACAAGGATGTTAACTTTATCTATATGTAATCTTTGTTTCATTTATATTATTAAACTTTTTGTTTTCATTTATTTGGCTTCAAGCTCAATTATTTCTAATAGTCTGTCACCCTATCGACGAGTCTACAACCCTTCCCACTCGAACACGTAGTTATGCATATTCCAAATCACAAGTTAAGAGACAAATTATCTTAACTGGTGTCAGGAGAAAATGGTCGGTAAGATCTTACAATCTTGTAACAAATTACAATAAATCCCATCCACCAACAAAGTAAGCAGGTCTTTGTACAATAAATCCCATCCACCAACCAAGGTAAGCAGGTAAACTGTTCCAATTTCTCAAATAGGTGATAAGAGTTAGACAACCTCTACTCTGCACCACAGATTCTCACACTAGGACAGGAAAGGCAAACCTTTTTGAGTCCACATGCCATGTAGCAAGCAAGCTTATCTTTAAAAATGTTTATGCGTACCACAATTTTACAATTCGATTAACGATATTCAAAGAAATGAAATGAATATTCTTTAATTAGAATAAATGTAAAGAAAAAGAAAGGTGATAAACCAAAATCACATGTTACATTAAGTGCCAGATGCTTTTTCCGACATGCCACTTTGGGCATGCATGCCGTAGGTTCGCCACCCCTGGCCAAGGAATTTGGCCAAACTAGAAGACCACTTGCAGCAACTGTGGACTGAGATGCTGCAGGACACTGTACGGCACCTGTATGCCTCCATGCCTGCCCATATCATATCATGTGTTTATGCTAGAGGTAGCCCAACAGGGTTCTAGAACCTTCTTTCATTTGTAGTTTTTCTTGCATTAAATAATCCTTTTGCTTTCATTTTGTAATCACATATCATTGTCACACTCACACATGATTTCAATTTGATTTGANCTTCTAATATAATACTTTAAAACTCTAAATTTATTCATTTATAACTTTTGCATTTCTTGTCAATCATCAGAAATACCTACTTTCAATTCATATACTTTGCACAAAGGAGAAGGGCCTCACAAAGATCTGTCGCCCGGAGCCTCGCAATGGTTAAGGCCGCCGCTGTCACTGTCACACTCACACATGATTTCAATTTGATTTGATTCTGACAACTCCTTCTTGGTGAACTAATTTTTATGGCAATGAGTATATATTACACACACATATATATATATATTTTGTTTTATTGAAAGTAAGTGACATTATTGCCAGTCCATCTCATTTAAAAAATACAGTTGTTTCAACAATAAATGTATCTTTAATAGTTTACCAGAGAATACCATATATCTGGATCAACCTAGACCAGCATTCTGGTATGCAAAGAAGAGCTGCTGGGTGGCAGATGGATTTCACGAAGTAAAGTATAGAGAAGGCAAGTAAGCTTCAATTAAATTAAACTTTTTAAGGATAAATTACATTAAAACATTCTGCTACAGAAAACAGACAGCTTTCTTTTAAAGCCACTCGTTGGGGCATAATTGGAATCGTGCAGAATAAATATATTAATTTCCCATATCAGGTAAGCATTATTTGCTATTTTATATTATTTATGTAATGACTTCAATGTTTATTTTGTTTAGTCGTGGCAGCTTGTACCACAGAGTGACCTTGACTCTGCTCAATTAACCATAACCGGTTCTTTGGTATCACTGACAATAGAAATTAACGATAAATTCTGTAGAGTAACCAGACTGCAAACGCTGGAAGACTCTGTAACACATCCAAACATAGGCAAAGAATGGTCCAAACCTAAACATCTTCTCAAAGTAAGTTACATGTTAATGATTTAAGTGAATCATTAATATGCAATAACTGTCTTGATCTTTAATTGTAGGAATTGAAAGAGGCTGGAATATTTCTAACTCCTGAAGAATCTGCAAAATCATATTTAGGAAATGCCCCAAAGGTAAAGTTGTTTCGCCATGAACATTACTTTCTATAGTTACTTATTAACATATTTACTAATCCTTATTAGGACAGTCAGTTAGAAGATGATGTTTATAAACAGATGGCATTATGCTCTAATGTTTATGCATTTGGATGGAGTCATTGGAATTCCACAAACAAGTCGCACAGAATAGTGATGAAGTGTGTTGAAATGTGCAAAAGAGAATCAGAGGTAATTTTAATTTAATTATTAAAGCAGTAACATTTTTTAAATTTATGACACTTTTAGGGAATGAACACATTACTCATGGTAGAACAAGAACGTGCTTTCTTCCTTCAATGTCACGAAATGAGTTCATCTTTCAGCGATGAGCCGTTCGAAAATACTCAAGTAAGAAGAAAAAATGTTTTAAGATATTTATCAAATTAAAAGTGAATACTTACAAAGTCAATCTTTTTCAGTATTTTGCAACTTTATATCATCTTCTATCATCCCATTTATCTGAAGAAGGGCTCCAGAGGCAGAAGAAATGTGGAAGTATTTACTATAAAAATATATATACACTTCTGTTGTCTATAAAACTTTTAAGTTATTAATTTACCGACACGGCTGAATTTGGACAAATTAAAAATAACTATTCAGATTATTTTTTGTATAAAAATTAAGCTTTCGTGAATTATTTTTTAATAAATTATTTACAGATTAAATTCCACAAATTCTACAGATTTATGTTCTAAAATATTCTTCCTTCAACTCCTTCCACGTCAGGCTTCGAAAGTTCTTTTAAACTAATGCTATTAATCCTCAAAACTGTCTGAGGGATCCTAAAAACTGTTTTTAAAGAATGAATTATAAATTAATTCTACAAATTTTATAAAATTAGAGTTAATTAAATGCATACATTTCATTCTTCTGTATTCTTTTCTACGTTTCATCTTAAACAACGTTACCACGGGAGACAATGTCTTTTCAATGACGGTCGCTTCTATTCTTATCTGGTCTTTACTATCGAAAGTAATTTAGATAATTAGAAATACATTGATTATCACTGTGGCAATATGATTGATGTAAAGTCTCACCTAAGTAAAGGATGTCCGACTAATGTAAAATCTTTACTTCCAAGTAACAAAATCTAGATTTATAAGAAAATTGATGTAAAGAAATTTAAAAATTACATGTGCCAAATTTTAAATGTACCATATTTCATGTAATAATCATCCATCTAACTTGTATTGTGAGGTAAACTCACTGGTCAACCTAAATACTGGCATATCGGTTATGTTCAATATTATTGAATAATCAACTAGCGATACAATATTTTCCAATATCAAAAACAAAAAAATGAATACTACCTGTTACTGAAAATTATAATTTATGCAGTTAATTAAGGTAATCCAAGTACTTCATTCAAATTACTTTTTATATATTTGCCAGGATTGTCAGATTTAACTAGTTTTATCTTAAATAAATAGTAAATATAAAACATGGCCGGCATATTACATTTAATTGTATAAATAAATATAAAATTGCAACATTTAACAAAAGTAAAATACTTTGCTTCCGTTATTCTTCCATCATTCACAACAGAGACAGTCCACAAATTCACAAGCATGGAGGAGACCTTTCCTCCATGCTTGTGAATCACTGAACGACGGAAGAATAATGAAAGCAAGTTTTACCTTAGCTATTACATTAGTTTGATGTCTTTTTTTGAATCATGCAATGTCTTGCAACATAGACAATAAATTCTTACAATTTTATACCAATAAATGTGCACTAAAACTGGGAAAAAAATTGTAGAAGGGACGATTATTACAGGAAATACAGTACTAAAAATTATAAGTACTTAAAGTTTAAATCCTATCTGGCTCCTCATTATTTATCATGAATAGTTTACATAAGAGCACCATTCTGCATCATTCGTCAAGCATACGAAGGGATGACAAGAAATGATGCTCCATGTATTTAATATCACAGAAAGATTAACCCACAAAAAAATAAAGCATGACCTGTTAATACACAATAGCAATCTCACAATTATGATAAGTAATTATAATTTAACACGATTCTATAAAGTCCTCGTGCACTTTAAAATAATAATTTGGCTTCTTTAATACAAAAAAATGTGTAAAATGAATTGGAAACATAATTTGTTAATTAAAGTAATTTTATGAGCAAAGAAATTCATTTACTTTTTTGGGTTAATTATCCTGTGCAATACATACGATAAACATTGCCAGATATATTTTTGGTCTCCACTTATGTTATTTTTAAATAACTAATATCTGAATTAGATGTAAAATTAGGCAAATAACAAATAATGACCGAAAAATATATCCAGCAATGGTTTGCTAAATGTTAAGATTTGGGCTTTAATTTGTTTACATCCTATGCTACAGCAAATTCAACAGGAGGAGGAAAGAATTGTGTTCTCCGATTGGCCAAGCTAAAGTACATAATCTAAAATTAAAGATAATAAAACTTGAATAGATTAATTCTTTGATGCACTTTACAGATTACTTTTACCTCAAGTTAATCAGTTAAGAAAATCAATTTAATAGTGTTAATTTGCTGAGAAAAAGCAACTGCTCGGATGTTTTCAATTATACTAAAATGCCTTCATCGGGAAAGGATTTTAAAACATCTATATATCTATATCCATATAAATACAAGTACCAATCTTCTTGTTTATTTGTGCAATGCTTTGCATAAATGAATAAGACTTCTGATGTCAATACATATAATTATCTTCCTTCCCTACCACAATCATTCAAATTTCCAGCCAATCCAATAAATTTTCTATAAACGGCAGTATTGATTTTATTTAAAATATATTGTAATTAAACCTCAGCACAAATTTTATACCCTGCTGATTCTTCGAATGCCAATATATAAAATTCCGTTCTCTGATAAATTTTTTCAATTTTTAAATAAATTGGAAAAATTGAATGATGCTTACCATATAATTTAAGTACTAATAATTATAAAATATTTAGATTGGTAATCAATGAGTAGCAAAACATCATATTTAAGTGTAATTTTGACTATTTTGTTTCAAATCATAACACTACAATGTTATGGTTTGAAGCATGGAATATGATCAATGTTTAATAATTGATATACTTTCTATCAATAGTGACTATATCCCAAGGATGCATTAATCAATGTAGGTCTAGTTCTAGTTATTCCACACTTGCTTTACAACATATTCTACAACAAAGCATAAGGACCACACAATTAACTGTATACAAATATATTCTGTAATGCCGTAAGGCAAAAACTACACCAAATTGACCTACGGAATGAAAAAATCATTCGCAAAAATTATCTTGTTTCCAAAAAATCTCAAATGACGCGAGACTTGTTTGAAATTAATTATTACTGTCTAACTACTTGATATTTTCCCAATAATTCTTCATTTATATAAACAGTCATATAGGACATATCTGTAAACTGAAACACAAAATAATAATACTAATACTAACCTTTTCCAGCACTATTCTGTCGCCAATGGCCATCGGATTATTTCCAGTCAACAGAACGAGATCATTTTCAGTTATTTTGTACTGTCTCGCAGCCAACTGGACTACAGCAAACAGCCGACCAGTTGTGCCGGTCTGGATTTGATTATTCACAGCCTCTATTACTTCTAAAAATATAAACAACAATGCAATCTTGACTTTTATTATAGAAAAAGTAAGAAAATTAATCTTCAGTGTAAACTTTGCCTTGTATTTCTGATTAATATTAATAAATTTTTGGAAATTTTATCAATATGAAAAATAAGAAACAGCATTAAAAAGATCAGTATTTTAAATTTTTAATCTCTGTCTTTTTGAAAATTTTATTAAAAATTTAAGACACAAATTACTTTGGTTAATTATAAATTCTAAAAAAATCTATGTAACAACTCAATTCCTTTATTATTTCTGCCAATTCATTCCAAATTGGTTCTTTGAGACAGCCACAATTCCAGTCACTTTTTGGGTGTAAGCACAACATACTTTGTCACCCCTCTGAAGAAGTCAACAATACACTCGCAAAATTTATGAGAAACTGGCCAAGAGACATAATTAGATTTAAATTTCAGGGAGAAAAGTTTATATGCCATATTTACCAGCACATTTATATGGACAAAATTTAAATTGTTGTATTTAGTTTTAATCCAAAGTTAAGAAGTGACTTCTCTGAAAACAAAAAAGAAAAACAAAGTACTTTAAGTCAGCCAGATGGCCGAGCAGTTAAGACAGCAGTCTACCGCTTTGGGCAAATGGGTCAAAAAACCTCATAAGTTTTTTGAGAGTGGTCCGTTCAGATATGGCAAGTCTCATCCTTCATCACTCACCCCGTTGTGGTCTGGCCAAACCCATAATGGGCAATAAAAAACGTTTTCAACCGTTTTTAAATGGCCATCTTCAGTTGAACCAATATTAAAAAAAAGAATACTAAAAAAGAACGCATGAAATACAAATTAAAACAGAAACCGAAATGCGCATGCGTACTTCATCAGACTTGCGTCTTCTGAAAATCTATAAATAACTTGCAAATAACATAAAAAATAACTTGCTTTGGCGGCTTTATTATTTTTTTTTATGTTATTTGCAAGTTATTTATAGATTTTCAGAAGACGCAAGTCCCATAATGGGCTTGCTAAAATAGCTTGTTTGGTGGTTAAAGGACAGAGAGAGTTAAAATTAAAATACCTTCAGAATTCAATAAATTTGCTTCCTCTGTATATTCTAAGTTTATCAAAAATGCAGAAATTAAAAGTTACCATTGGTGATCTTTTCGTCAACATCGTCGGGTTTTATAATTTCTCCAGCCAAAGGCCTTGTGCTGTACTTATTTTCGCCACACTTCGCTCGTTCGTCATTCAAGTTTGATTTAGTTCTCAAAAAAGAGGCAGAAATAGCACCGATTCGAGGAAGAGATTGTTTGCCAAACACCAAAGACGATTTACTGATGGCACTCGCCATATAAAAACACCCTGAAAATTTTTATATATAACTTAAAAAACATTTTAAAATTATTGTAACTTCTTTTTACTAAACAAATCTTAGCAAAACTGATATAATTGTGATATTCATTTTGTTAAACTTTTAAAACTAGAAACAGTGATGCATTGCAGTAAGTAATGTTTCCAAACTGTTTGCATGTGTCTCAGAATTAACTAATCCATTTAAAATACGTAATTTTGCAGAATCAAGAATTGATAACTGCATCAAGTGATGATCGATTCCAAAAATTTAATGCTAAAGTCAAGACAGTTATTATTAAACTTGTCGTCTTTGTTACTGCTGACATTTTTCTCTAGTTGTCAAATACCCAATTAATTTAATTCTTTTCCTTACATTATGCATATTTTTCTGTTTTTTCATGATCTACAGTCAGAGCCAAAATGCCTATGCCAGAGTCTAAGTACATGGAACGCAGATATCCCTATTTCCTGTATTTGCTAGAAGCCCCTGTGCTAATGCATGGTTTGCTCAAGTCCAACCTATAACTTATTAAAATTTGATCCCTTTTAAACTGACACCATTATAAACAATTGTATTGGAGACAACTGCACTCGAACATATTCTCTACTCATCACTTACTTCTTTGAATGCAATCTTCTACAGTGGTACCTCGGTATACATCTGCTTTAGAATACATCCAATTCGGAATACGTCCTGTTTGGACAAAACAAATTTTGTTTGGTATATGACTTTTGTTCAGTATATGACTTAATTCAATTATACATGCCATCTATGAACAAGTAGCACTATTGGTGTACTAGACCAGACTAGTTCACGGTGCCACAGTTTATAACTTTGTTAAATTTCTTCTGATTTTAATTGTAAGTAAAAGTTTATTATTAATCATAAATTGCAAGAAGGCAAATGAAAAGCAACAGAAAACAAAAAATGACTAGAATCACAACTGAAAAAAGAGATTGTTGAGAAATA